AAAAAAAAAAAAAAAAAAAATTATTTTACAAAACTACATTTATTAAAAAACGATGTTACGTTGTGCAACTGAATTGAAAAGAGAGACGATGTTTATAACGAATTTTCAATAACATACAAATTAAAGTATAAAATAATTCAATTTTTTAAAATGTAAAATTTATGACGATGTTCTAAACAATCTCGTAAAATTTTAAATAATCTTCAAAAATTTGTATATATGAAAACGTTTTTTTAAGAAAACTACATAATGAAGGCTTTTGTATTTCTTTAGAATAAAAAACCATAAATAATATTCTACATATTTATTAAAAAGCAATGAGTAAAAGCTGCGTTTACCTTTACCAAATATATAAAATCCTCAGAGTATACTTTTTTATACAGAGTATACAAATTTCACACGTTAAAAAATTTACATAATTTTGAGCATCTTACAAGTTACAATCATTACGTTCAAAAATCTTTATGTTTTTTTTTTATTATCTTGTTATTTTATTGTTTTGTTATTGTACTACAACGATACGTCTGGACAGTCCTAGGGATAAATAAATTTGTAATTGACATAATCATTTTGCCATTCTGAAGCCTGCTCAGATTTAGATATGTAAAGAGAATGTACCGAACAGTAGTCACATAAGGATCATTTAGTTAACAAATTAAAGTATACCTATATTGTTTCATAGGTAATCGGAGAAATTTGAGCCTAATTTTATTTAACTTTAAATTTAGGTATATCCAAATAACAAGTAATCTTTAGTTTAGCAGTCTTTACACACATTCTTCTGTTATGAAATTGACAACAAAAGCTAACAATAATGATAACACATTATGCAAGTACATGAAGGTTAAAAAGTGGAGCCTCATGAGTGTAGTCAAAAATAATAAGGCTAGCTTTCTTCTAAAGTAATTTTTTTCTCTGCTTATTAGTAAAAGTAGTATGAAACTTTTTATTTACTACGATTAATATAATGTATTTACGTTAAAACATTTTTTCTTCTCCTCTGTTTAAGTGAAAATATGCCAATAGATGAAATACGCGGTCGATAAATTTTGTCTTTTCTGTTTTTGTAGAGCGCCTGCAAACTTAACGTTTACATTCATGTATTCTTATAGCAATGGGATAGATGTCGTTAGGTCCATAGCGAAAATAAATAAAAGAAAATCTTCTTAAGCTAGTAGATAGCAGATTAGTTTGTATTGTATTACTTGTTAACTAGCCAGTGCATTTTGTATATTATCCTGACTCTCTCATTAACCTTCCTGTCTATTTAGCACACTTTGCCACGCATTCTAAGGCATGAACTTTCTAGTGAGCTGGATAAAAGAGAGCATAGACCAGTGTGCCAGGTACTTTATGTGTTAACATTCTTCACTGTTGTAGCTAAATACAATAATATTAGAAAGTATATTACTATTGTATTTAAAAAACTGTTCTTCCCTGCTCTCGATCTCATATTTTATTAAGATCCTTATTCCTCAGACCATAACTATAAAATCGTTTGCAAAACGTTCTGCATTAGAAAGCAAAAAATAAATTGAACTTCTTGAGTGGCTATGTCTGCATATATTAAATAATAAGTTAAACCATCGCACGAATAACTCTTGATTTTTTCTTTATATAGAGTGAATAGTTTGTTATACAAAGATATTTATAACAATATTTGATATTTCTTTGATTATTCTTATTGTAAAAACATTTAATAGAGAAATGAATAATTGCTAATTATTAAAAATATATTTAAAATATACACACATACACACACAAATACTACTATAAATTTAAATAATTAAATTTCAGAGTACTCCGAATACTTATAATATTCATACAATATTTCGATAATACGATAAGTTATTCGTGGATGGTTTAATCAGGATTCTGATATTACAACACATGCATACTGTTATTTGTATAGAACGCAGATTATAAATTTTTTCATTATGATCTACGTTTATACAAAACCCTACACGCACACCCATACTGTGCCAAGTTAGGGAGCCATTTGTATGCACATCTGGCTATGGCTAAAGCACATGTCGTTATTTGTTACTTCAATCAATGTTTAATTTTACCACTCGTCATTTTTACTCGTTACATTTCCACCTTATATCATTAGGTTCATTCTATCATACATCCGTCAACCTGTCATTGCATGCTGTATTGGTTGTACATATTCAGATAGCAAACTAATATAACGCAAATTAAACAAAAAATTTTGTAGCCCTATGGTAATATAGTTATTAAAGAATAGAATATATTTTTCCGATTAATTTTCATAAGTTATTTCATTGACACTGAACACTATAATTGAACAAAGTGCTTATTTTACTTTAAAAATAGAAACTTATCACCTAGAAGACATTACTACAAAAAGAAGCTATGCAAAACTACACGTAATACAAAATAAACTATCATGACAATTAATTTATGCCTTTATCTTACATACGCGACCTTAAAAAGAAAGAGTAAAGAATGTACGTGAATAATTCTAAGAGAATATGATTCTAAAAAATAATGTACCATAGGGATACACTATTTTCGAGCTCCTCGTATAATAACAATTTGAATATTTTCAGCATATAAGTAATAATACAAAACAATACAAAAATTCTAATGAGTTTGTTTTAGTATGCAATTGAATTATTTCAATTATAAAAATCTAATGAAAAATAAAGGAGTACCGATGTACATATCCAGGCACATGTACCCATTCTGTATCTGTATAATTTTGTTTTTTCCAACAATCAAATTTAATACTCTTTGACATTTGAATATTTATCCCTGTATACAAAACTAAAGTTGTTTAGCACATTTTAGCACTAAATTTAGAATACACAACTTTTATTAGTCTTTCTCCCTGTAGAACACAATGTTCATTCCTAAATGTCGTTTTTTTAGTTATCACAAATTATTGTTCCTCGTATTTATTATTGTTTGAAACATTAACGGAGCTCAGATGCTTTCAATATTTTATATCAATGCAAATATAACTTTTTAATTACACATTTACGATGCCCGAACGTTGGGTCGCACTGGAAACAGGCTGCTTTTTCGGTAACTTTTCTTTGTTGGTATATGCTTTCATATCAAAGTAAACCACTTTCTACCCATGAAGTCATTCAAAAAAAATATATATATATATGTACCAATTGGGTCTGTGAACATTATTCTGTAAGGTAAAGAGCAGGACTATGGATTTGGAGGAGGTGTAGTTGGTGTTGTACGTGAAGGAGACGTACTGGCAACCATTGTTGGACTGGCTGGCTGTTGTAATGGCAGGAACGCTGATCCCAAGCTAGGTTTTAACTGGAATGCTACACACGGCTTTGGGCAATAGTCTAGTTTGCTCAAGTCTATCATAGGTCGCCTATACATACAAATACAATCGTTTCAATAATGCTAATGTGTTCGATATTTCTAAATGAAAGAAGAAATATTAATTTTAACTAAATGAACTTTAACTTTTAGCGAATTTAAATTATTTTTTCTGAGCAATACGAGTATTATATGAAATCTGTCCAATTTGATGTAAAACATATAACTGACAAAATTTATAAATGAATTATCACGATAGACATTTTCTACAGAGTATACTAATTTTAAAAGAAACATGCATAGAACATATATCTTCTTCGCATATATACCTGGCATCCTCTACAAATTTGAGATTGACTTTCTCACAGCCATCAGGTGGTTCTCTTGCAAGGAACCTATTAATGTGAGGAGAGGTGCCAAGACGTCCTTCTCTATCTTGTTCAGGAGTTGAACCACGACTTCCACCTTAAAGACAAATTAAAATATCAGAATTAATAATCATATAATATACGATAACGAGCAACATTGGATATACCAATCGAAAAGCAAATATTTTTATTCCATGCTCTTTATAATAACTATTATATAATTCGTACATTTGTAAATTCATTCATATAAAAAATAAAAAATAATATAAATGTATAATAGCTTTATACACCAAAATTAGACATCATTCTACTTTATTAATAATAATATATATAGATAAATCTGTGAAGCCGGGAATTTTGTATGATACTTGTATGTATGACGTTAAAATTATAAATTAAACAAGTTGCTATAAAATTGAAATATAACTTAAGAAATTTAGAAATAAATTAAGAAATCCATTATCATGCAAATATATACTTAAAACAAATACATTTCACGTGTTTTAACAAGTATTTCTGAATAAAAAAAAAATATTAATTTAAAATATATAAAATTTGAAACTCCTATTAAAACAAGATACTGCGTGCAGGTATCAATGCAATACATTTAATAAGAAATACATTTTAATTTATTAAAAATAGATTCATTTACCATATAGTGTCATATAATGTATTATAAACATTCAATTTGGCATTATTATTCCATGAAAACATCAATTTTTGATCAGTTAAATTTAATTGTGTAAAATCAGAAAATAATTCCAAGTGTAATATTAAGAATAACTGATTTTTGTATCTTAGTATACATATTTTCATATTGAAAAAAATAATAATAACTCATGCACATACTCCAGAAGATATGTGTGTGTGTACATATATATGTATATGTATACATATTTACGAAATAGTAAAGAATTTATAGACATATAAAGTCCCATTAACTATCTGGATAAGGACATTCAAAAAAAAAAAAAGAAAAAAGAGAAAGAGAGAGAAAAGAACAAAAGAACAAATATATTTGAGCAAAACGGATTTTGTGAAAAATAAAAAGAATGCTTCCGCAAATATGCGCCAACCTTGTAAGAGATCGCTAGGCGGACGGGACGCATCCATAAGACCAGGAATCAGCGGAGACTCAGAATTCCTAGATGGAGGGCCTGTCTCAACAGGCACACACCATAGTTAGTCTGTTATTTATAGTGTTACCAGTAACCAGAAATACTTCACACATACATATATGTATATACTTTTATTTAAAAAAATAAAAACATGTGATGTTCCTTATATCTTTAAAATTACACACAAAAAAAACAACTACTAGTATTATGAACACTAATAACAAACATTGCATATAATCATTAATCTGGAGGTGTTAAAATTAATGTTCAGATCAGGTTTCCATAACTTTCAACATAAAATTTCATATCGTAAAGTTCATATGTATTTTCTAAAAACATTGACAACTACTTCATAAACACTATTAAATAATACAAATAACAAAATATAAACTTACCTGAAGAATAAGAACTGGAGGGAAGGTCAGTAGCTGGTGTTTGCGTGTTCACACTGCGAGTAGCCCTCAGTAGATCTGCCAATGGTGCACGATGGCCTTCCGGTGTAATTTGTTCACGATACCGTGCATACTACAAGGACAATTAAATTTTTTAATTAAAATCAATTTTCAATATGTTTTTATTTAATTTTAAAATAGTCGTAAACAAATCAAAACATACTTTGTCTTCCACTGGATGATCAGGATCACTAGGGTTAGTTGCAGATTTTAGAACCAATCCTTCAATTTCTTGATTTAGTCCTTCAATAGAAGAACGCATTGGAGGCCTCATTGGTTTCACAGGGATATTCATAGGACTTGCCTTTGTACTCAAACTAAATTGATTGTCTGGTACAATAATAAAACTAATATGTTAATAAATTGTAAAAACAAAAAGATTTATTATGTGAGTACCCATTCCTAAATGAACTTACGTATAGACGTTTGTGAGGCAATGCTAGGTAAAACTGTATGATCTGCGGGGAAAGCTGGTGGTGGTCCACCTGGCATTATAAGTCCAAATGCTGCTGTCCGTTCTCTACTGCTGGTGCCTTCCTTATTTGTACGTTGCAATCTGTTATACATTTTTTTGATTAGAATAAATAGATATGTAAATATTATAGCAGCATATTGTGTCATTATTATATCTTTGATCATAAAACTGCAAAATTTATCACTATAATTTATAAAATTTTACAATCTTAATGATTTATACGCACCGATGCCTGAAAAATACCAATTTTTCATCTGTGGTGCTTTGCTCTGTAGGATGACGAGTATGCAATTTTCTTGGTTCATTGGACCATTCTTCTGTCTATAAAAACATAATTTCATTGATTTTACATTGTGCATAAAACATACAGAATATCAATATATTATATGATAGAAGATACTGTTATACAAATGTAATAAAATGTGTATAAAAATGGAGCAATCAAGCAAATACACATATTTAAAATAAAATAAGTTTACCTGTGTAGATTTATCAACCACTAGAAGACTAGGATGAATGTAATATGAATCACGAGGCCATTGTCCTTTCAAATAGATTGTATCTAGTGATGCTGTCCTTCGAATATTTTGGTTTCCACTTAAACTTTCGCTGCATCTTCCACTTAATGTTTTTGATTTTGCTGTTTATAAAAAAATTTTAGATGAACATAATTTTTACCATTAAAAAATTATAACGAATGTATCACTGATGTGTAAATATGAACCAGAACCGGACTATGAAGATTATATTCGATTACTGGATAAAGCAAGTAAAAACAAAATTCAAACAATAATGGTATAATAGGATAAAGAAGGAATGAATATTTTAACTGTTTATTGTGGAACCGATCTAAAATCTATATTCGGTTACCGTATCGATCAATTTAAACAATTATAAATCTATGACAGAAAGAAATGAAAAAGAGATTAATTTGCTTCTTATATATTAATACTACTAATGTTAATGTACTGCATGTATAACTTAATATAGTACATATGTATGTAGATACATATACACACATGTGTGTATATATATATACACATATATATATGTACATGTATACATAACATTCATCATTACTCAATCCAATGACATATATCATAATTTATTAGATACAATTAAAATCACAATGCACAATTTACATTTACAAGTATTACATTATTTCATAACTGCAAATTAATGTAAAAATCAACGTGCTTAATTATAATTAATGAACGTTTGATGTAAAAAACTTTGCATACTTAAATTATTAAAAACGATCGCAAATTTAAGAAAACATATATCGGGGAATCAAGATAACATATTTTTTCATCGCAGTTAAAATATTTACAATCGACTATACGTATGACAGAAACGTAGCTGACACAAATGAATTATACCGAATTTCGTAAAAAATAACACATCGAGAACTGTTGCAAATGGAACAAGAAATAACGATATACACTTGCAAATAGACGATCAATGGAAAATCTGTGCACGATATAACGACACAATAAACATTTATAATTAGTTGTGTTGCAACGTTGAAAAGAGAAAAGGGGGAACGGAAGGAATAAAAAGTACATACTCGGTTTAATCGAGAAGGGCAAGAGGGAGAGAAGGAGGAATACACGGTGGTATAGGAGGGTACGGAAAACATAAAATGACAGACACAACAGAGTGTAGCGAAAGATAACAGTGTATAGTAAGTACGTGAAGATGTAGAGCAGTGAGTGTAAATACCTTTGTAAGAGAGGGAACCAGGGCTTCGTTGTCCCGAGGAAGAGGTCTCCGGCGAGATGCGGGCCCGCCACGCACTCGCGTTCGTCGGTGATACGGTGGGACTGTTGCTGTTGCTCTTCCTAAGGCTGCTACCCTGCCGGCCTTGTCGTAGTAACGAGCTCACGGGTAGAGTCGCGCGCATTGGGCCTTGCTTCGACGTCGAGCATGGCGAGGACTTTCGCATTCGCTGTGACCCCGACATTTTGTCATATAGGCAGCTGGCGCTCGGGCCGTCGATGCTGGTGCGTTTGACGGTACACTGTATTTCGAGTATGTTCGACTAAGGACGGGGCGCCGCGGGCACCGTTCAGGGCACGAGGCCTCCGAGCACCCGCGACTTTGTCGCGCACACGCGGCGACAGCAGCAGCAGCAGCAGCAGCAGTGCCGACAGTATCGAGGACAGATTTTCAGTATCGTTTTAGAATGCTCGCCTTGTCGGTGGCGGGCGAGATCTCATCAACGATAATGGTAACGGCGGCGACGGCAACGACGACGAGGACGACGACGACGACGGCAGCGCGATGAATTCACTAGCAACTACGACAGGAACGGTGGTAGCGACGGCGCGACGACAATGCCCTACGCGTCTTGTCATTTGCAATGTTCTGCTGCTGCTGCCTCGGCACGCACGTCACGTGATCGCCCGTCCCGGCTGGTCATTGGTGCAACGCTAGCCCGTAGAGCGTCGTACTACGCTCACCCGTGGGGGCCGCGTTCCATTCACTACCACCGTAGCACCGTACCTAGCGTCCTATCGCTCTCTCACTTTATTCTTCTTTGATCTTCTCTCTCTTATTCGCGCTTGTGCAGTGGCACTCAAATTCGCCCTTTCCTTGATTTCCTCCGATCCCTCGTTCGAAATCTTATTTACCGGTTAATCCCGATGCCCGTGAATCACTCGTCTTTTTGCCAACATCCATTATCCTGCTGATCCACGACGAAATTACACACGCCAGCCGTTTTCTGTGCGAACTTGTTTCAAAATGCGATATCACCTCTACGCCGAAACGATGTTTTGGTGCTCGTGTACGGCGTGCGCAACTCTGCTTATACATACACCTGCACGACACACGTATAGACCAGTATGTAGCGTTTTACGTTTCACGTTATGTACGTAATGGAGGAGCACAAGCCGATGAATAGCGTGTGTGAATAACTTTCGTGTACGGGCACGTACTAGCACAGACGTACTATCCAAGCTTACGTTCTTCAGCTACGGCGCGTGCACGCTACGTTCATTCGATACTCTCGCTAGGAGAAATCTCGAGATAATCGTTTCAATTCGCTCCATATCGAACCGATATTTACGCGCCAGCTTGATTTTGATTTGACAATAACAAAGATTTGACGATCTGTTTAACCGCGGAATTATCGTTTCGACTGTTTATACACTGTCTTCCATGGAAAAATTTTCGAAGAGGGACGAAATATCTTTTCTACCATTTCTTGAAAAATATTAGTAAAATGGGAAACGTGTGTCAAAATTCTTCTTCACTTTTTAACAATTGGGATTAAAAATTTTTTTTTTGAATTAAGCTCGTTTATTTATTTACAATATATTATACATTATACTATGCAGTTTCATTACATCGTTTTAAGTGTTCACTATTGATAACATGTGACTAGATTAAATAATATCAGATGAACAAAAACATTGGAACATCAATCAAAACTTTTAATATGTTAGTAAATGCGTGAATAAAACATAAATATTTGAAATAAGCACAAAATTTCTTTTGTTATTCTATTCATAAATATGAACATAATAAAAATAATGAAAATAAAGCTAAGGCAAATGTGTGTGCATGTGCAGCCATTAATTTATATATATTATTTTTATTTCTTGCACATGAAAAACAAGAATTAGAAGATAATATTTAACTTAAGAGAAAGGCAATATAAAATTATGATTTCAATATAAATATAAATATACTGAATCTATGATTCAACTTAAATTATTAAACCTTAAGTCACTTGTCATATGTTGTCAGCATAAAAATATTAAAATTAATGGCAAAAATTTATACTGTAATATATATTTGCATGGAAATTTGTTTAATAAAGGCACTGTCATGCTTTTCAGTAAAAGCTAATGACATAATATACTTATAATTAATTTTACTGTTACATACGTACATATATTTATATGTATATTCATACATATGGTATTATATATATGTATGCATATGCATAAAATTTTGAAGAATGCTGCATTATTCCGCAAAATAGTGTTAGAAATGCTTGACATCAATTCCAAAAATAATTTCAAATTATACCACTTTTTAATTTGCAAAGAATTTTTCTATTACAGTAATAATAAATGTAAAGAACAAAAAATTAACATATATTTAAATAATAACAAAAGAACAAACTTTTTCTATATTTTACGCATGTATCAATTGTTGAAAATTATTATGTACTTTTTAGTATCTTAAAGCATTATTAAGGATGACAGAATTATGTAAAAAATACAAGTATAATGACCACATTGACAAACACGAAATGATGAAATGCCATACACAGACATTTGTGTGTTGTAACAATATTATTATATTGATTATAATAGTTTGTATTTTAGTAATTGAACACAATACTCACATGTGTTTTAATTCGTACATCAGTCCATTTTAGTCTGTTACTTTATTTTTTTTTATTACTAATAGTGATAAAAAAAAGACTGAAAAACCTTATACGTAATAGATAAGTGCTAAAATAAGATTAAATTTTAAGCTTCAGAGATTTTAAGCAAGTAAAACTTCTTTAAACTATCTTTTCTTTATCATTTCTCTATTATTTTAATCATTTTTACTACAAATTCGTTGAAAGTTTAACGTTTTAAACACTGTCTAGATATTTTTGTAACTATGTAATTGTGAATAGAAAATTATTTTATGATATAAAAAAAAGTTTATATGTAAATTATTTGTAGTAAGTATAATACCATGAAAGTGATATCATTTATAAATGTGTAAATTATTACTAGTAATAACAGCAATAGTAATAATTTACACACAGTATAATTACACACAGTATAATTTATATGTATATACATATAAATTATATATATGCGTAATTTTATATTTTATACAAAATTTAAGATAAATTTATACAAATAAAGTACATTCTTTCAATTTGTAATAATACTGGAAAAATATTAGCACGCATCTTAATTTATTTTTACCTACTTATCTATTTATAATACACTAGTCACTTTTTATATTGATCCATAAATAGCCAAAAGTATTAATGAATATGAAAATAGGAATTCATAAAAAGTAATTTAAATACTGTATTAAACATACTAAATTAATTGAAATTTGGGACGATTTTTTTCTAATAATGTCACTGCTTTGAGACTTTCACAAAAATTTAAATTTTTATTTATTATAAAAAAAAATATCTTTTTATTAATTTAATATTACAAAGTAAAATTTTAATACCATAAAAAAGATGTGAGACTCAATGAAAATGAAGAAAATATACTTGTCAATAAAAAAATAAAAATATCTTTAAGGTTTCTTTGATAAATTATATAGAAATTTTTAACGTACTTCTTTAAATTTTTGTTGAAAAGATTTTAGATAGTTTTATTACAGAATTTCATGTTATAATGGATGTCGTATTTTTTACTTATAATAAATATAAAAAGTAATTAAATATAAAGTCACATTAAATTTTTTACTAATTACGAAATTAATTTGTCTTACTTCTCATTACATACTAATGACATTAATAAATATAAATGATTTGTTTTTTCAAATAGAATTAAATATAGGAGGAAAAATATGTCTATTAAAGATTTGTGTAATATATCCTAGTTAGGTCTTGTAAATAAATGGAACTCTTTCATTTAATATTTAAATTATTGTTGCCATAAATAAAATTCTTTAGGTATAAATTTTAAGAATCTATTACTATATTTATGCAAACTCATTTCTATGAAATATGTGAGCTATGTGTAATTGTCATGAATTTGAACTAGGGCAGTGTAAAATATCTATTATAGTATATCCCAACATTAGTTAAGATAAACATCAAAAAATAAAAAAAAAAAACCACATCTATTGTTCTTTAGTTTAAAAAATTAAATTAAACATGACACAGAATACTATAAATTATATTATATTAATCAAGTATGTCTAGAAAAGCAATTTTAAAAATTTAAAATATATATAAAATAATGTTGTTTCATATAAGTATTATACATATATTTATATATAATACTTATATTATTAAATACCATCAATATTTTTTTATCTCAAACAAATTATTTTGATTGATCCACACATGATGATAGATATTAAAATTTAAGAAAGATAGATATTAAATCGACATATAAAATTATAACAGAAAAATCTTGTAAAAAAGCAATTTAAGTTATATTAAATACATATTTGGTATGTATCTGCAATGGATGAATTACTTTTGTTGGACATACAACAAATTTGATACTTTAAACTCAACTATTTTTACCAATATCTATATTTTTTTATACAATCATTTCCCAAGTCTACAACTACTAAGTGATTGTCAGGTAGTACTGCAATACCTGAGGGACGTCGTAGTTTTGAACTATGCGAATCAATTTCAGTTAAAATATTACCTCCTCCTAACTTTAAAACTTGGATTATACTGCGACCTTTATCGGTACGAGTACCAAGTATTCTGCCCTCTGAATCAACAGCAAGGCCTCCATAAGTACCTTTTCCTATAACATATAACAGATATTAAATACGGCAATTAATGTATAAAATTGTGATTTACCTTTGCCTTCCGAATAAATTTCTTCAGAAAAATCTCCTTTAGCGGAAAATACTTGTATACGACTATCAGCAACTACTATTTCACCATTGGGTCCAACAGTCACGGAAGTGATCAATTTGAATGTACTTCTCTTTCCAACCTGTTAGTTAAGATTTTTGAAAAATGTATACATATAATAGCGAATATCATAAATGTAGAGAAACAAATTTAACGAATTAAATATTATCTAACCTGAAAGAGAATTTTGCCGTCAGAATCGAACACAAAAACACAGCTTTGACCATTGTCTGCAACAAGTATATGACCATAACTTCTATCTACTGCAATATCAATTGGTTCCTGTAGAACAAAATTAACAATATAATGAATAACAAGCAGTAAGTTTTTTTTTTAATACATCTTAAAAATAGACAATACTAACTTGAAACGCATTATGGGAAAAAGATTTAATAGTATCACCTAGAGAACTCATTTCAGTTACTTTTCGTGTTCTCCAATTAACGACAACAATACCTTGCTGAGATATACCAATTCCTGTACAACTACGTCCTTCAAGACCTTCATTAGTTATGTGCCTTTGAAACTCTAAATCACAATTGAGTACCTAAAAATATAATATTGTGTATATATTACAACTTAAATATTAGAATATAATAGAACTTGTTTATAATTTTAAACGTACTTTTATACGTGAGTTTCCAGTATCTAAAATATATATCATGCCATCATCATTAACAGCAACTGCAACTGGTTGGTGAAATTCGTCTTTTCCAGTTCCACGTCTTCCATATATTTTAATAGGTTCGTTATGTTCAGTCGCATCAAAAAGTAAAGGATAATCTTTAATAGGTCGCTCAAAAACTGACAATTTTAAAATATAGCGGCTTGCAGATGGAGGTCGGAACAGTACTTCATATGTACCATTTTCTAAATCTACAATTTCAGTATCAATACTGGAACTTTGGTTTTCTGAGTGGATACTATCTGCTAAGGTTAATTCTGCAGTAATAAGATCGCCTCCAACATTTCTAGGATGTCCATGGTAGTCAACAGTCTCTACTATTACAGCTGCTTGCAGTTTAACTATAGCAGGATCTTTTAACCTGGCTCTGCATAAGCCTGTTACAAAATATACGTTATTACTATAAGTAATAATCCTTTCTTATGATCGGCAACTTAAAAATATAAAACAATAACGCTTGCATAATGATTAATAACAAGTTTGAAGCAGGTACTTTACTGTATTATCAATCCTCAGGATACCTGGCAATGTTGTACTAGAACGTACTCTCCCCAAGTTATTAAGAGCTTCCTCTAACTGAGAAAGAGCATTATTGTGATTAAATTCAAAAGTAATAAAAGCATTTTCTTTAGGTTCGCTAAGTGCTGTTGCCGCATCGAGTTGGTCAGATAAACTGCCAATTCTTTGTGTAATATTTCGAACTTCAACCTTCAAGAATTATACACATCTTTTATTACGTATACAAAACAAACATCATATACAGTTAATTCTTATGAACGATGTCATACCTGATATTGTAGTCCTTCACATTCTCGTTGTACTTTATTTTTTTCGGCTTCTATCAAAGCATGTTGTTCTTCTAGTACGTGCTTCTTATCTCTTGCGGCAGCCGTAACAGCCGCTTGTAATTCCGTACGTCTCCTTTCAATTTTTGATATAATTTCTGCAAATTCAGTATCTACAGCACTCAAACACCTTTCTATTGAAGCTTCCAAACGTTGTAATTCTGTACTCACAGAATCCTGAGCTTGTGTTAACTAAAATAAGCAAAATTCTATTTAAATATCACAATGTTTCATGATTAATAAACAATTCACAAAGAAAAAAATATATTGTTACCTTAGATATACACTCATTTGCTTTGTAAAGTAAGATTTCGGACATCCTCTTTATTGCAATACTAAATGGTATGATAGTATGCTCAGTACATCCTGGTGATGTTCCTGCATGATTACCGCCTGTACATACTGTACAAAACACCGTATCACATGTTTCACAAAATAACAATTCTTGATTTATATGAACGGAACATTTTGGAATAACCTGTAATAACAAAGAAAATTTTACACAATGTGCCTAAGACACAAAGAAAAGTTACATGAAAAATACAATTTCAAACCTCCCGTCTTTGCCTGGACATGAGATCAAGCAGTTGATTCACAAGGAAGCTAGGTGGTAAAGCAGGAACTCCACCACGAGGAATTGTTATTAATTCTCTGCAAATAGGACATCGAAAGGCACCAGTCTCACGAGTCTGAGATGCAGCAATTCTTGTTAAGCAATGTAAACATACCTGTAAATAAATGAACAAATAATTAGTAAAGTATACTATTACACTAAAATGTAATAATTTAATAAATATAAGTGACATGTACCGTGTGTGAACATGGTAATAACTTGGGAGTATGTTCTCCACCATCATAAACACAAAGACATGTGCCACATGTTAAAAAACTCTCATTAAAATCTTCATAATTTATACTAACTGTCTCCACGAGCATAGAGCTCATACTAACCATCCTCTCCCCTAGTCGTGTCCTGCAAAAAAATAAAATTTCTATTTATGTTATACATTAGCAAGCAAAAAGTTTTGTTTATAAAAAAACTTTACATACAATTTTAACATCTGAAATATCATATTTGAATAAAACATGATTTTTGTTAATACGTTCATATTTGAATGAAACATTATTATTCTGTACATATATAATCTTGAAAAATATAAATAAGGTTAATAATATTATTGAAAAGAATTTATTTATTCATTTATTTATTTATTTATTACAAATAACAAAAAGTATAGGATATTGTTGCCACAGCGATATAAAGTCATTAAATGTAAAGTATTATTTAAATAATAAAATATTCACAAAGAAATTTTTTATATACATAATAATTGATTTCAATATAAATATATCATACATATGTACTCCATTATTATGACAGTGTCACTTTCTATCTGTTTACACTTCCTTAAGAATAAAAATTACATAGGGTGTCATAAAAGTTTACCGATTTATCAATCGTGATCAAGTAGACGCATGTTAGCATTCGTAATCCCCCTTTTTTTTTTAGCCGTAGCCAGTTGTTAAACATTAAACAAAGCAAGTAAAATGAATTACTCATAAAAATATTTGTTGAATAATAAACTCACTGTATAGCTAAACGCAGTGCCTCCATAACGGAGTTAGCCCTGTCGTTGTTTTGAGAAATATATACATCCGTTACATTGCACACGGGTTTTAGCGGGGTGTCGATGCACGCTTGGATTGTATCTCTTTCTTCTTAAATAAATTTTCATTATCAAATGAACCGAACAACATGAATAAGCTCGTCAAATAACTTTCGTGCAAATCGCATCTTCTAGTTTCACCGTGCTGGCGAGCTTATCAAACATATATCGATATCAATAACAAAATACTATGCTTTCAAATGGTATCAAAGTAAAGGAACTTTCTATGTGTGATTTTTTTTTTTTATGTCCACGATATTCTCAAAGAAAATAACGCTGCGCATTATTCTTTGTTTTTTCAATTATTATCGATTGTTCCAAACAAAGCACACGTTTGCACAAAATGCTACCAATAAACGTGACACTTATTTTACAATATTTTCCCCATAAACGAACAAGATGCAAAGCATATGCCGATGAGGATTCTTTGTCTATCTTTTTTTCTAAATATCTATTGTCCTCGGCGAATTATTGAGACGAATTTCTCTACTTTGAGCGAATTTGCAACAAGTAATTTGCGAACCATGTTCAAAAATCAAATGCGAAACGCTACCCTCTGACGTTTAAGCTTATTTTTATTTCACTTTTGAAATTGTTTATCCCTGCAAATGTATAATGTCATTTTGGATGCTTGCTCTATTATGTATCACTATCACTCGCGACATATTCGCGGGACCACGTACATGTCCACCTCGTTCAAATGGTAGCAATAACACTGTCGAAATTCGTCAGTGTTCTGTCGCATTTTTTCAAACAAATACAGATACGAACAACGACGAACCGCATCAGCTGCGGAGCGCAGCGACTCACGTTTTACAGCTGCGCACGTTCTCGCCTGCATCCACAGCCGGCACCACTACCAGGGACGAAGTAATAGGTACACTATGCGGGTGCCCGCGGTTATGATCTACCAAGTTGCGTGTCTTGCTCTCTCTTCGTTTATATTTTCGTGAAATATAAACTTCTCTACCGATACACCAGCATCCTCATTGAACGTTTAAAGACTATAATTGCAAACAATACGATCGATCTGTATCGTTCGTGGGTTCCCAACGATAGTTATAATTAGACCGAATAGATAAGCAGATTTTATAGATAAGGATATCGTGAATAGAGTATCAAGTACATTAATAGTAGACAGATACAAATGCTTTATTTTTCGTGTGTGTGCCTTTTCGAAACGCCTACACGTACGTAGAACGAGTAAGTGTAGCGTTTACAATGCAAGAAACGAAATTGTTCCATTTAAGAAAATATTAAGGTTGAAACGTTTGGTTATATACGTTACGCGCCGAGTCATACGTCCCTGAGTATTGGCGTACCATCAAGCGTTTACCACAGGAGTGAGAAGAAATATATAGGAGAAAGCGATGATAAAGAAAGAAAGATACACGCGTCTGCCGAAGGGTAAGGAGACGCACAGCACCAACGGCAGTACAAAGACGGAGAAATGCCTGGTATGCTTGTGCGAGGTACACGGCCACATAGTCGGCTGAATTGTCTACTGCGCAGTCGCCCGTTAAAAGGTGTAGCGGCTGTGTATATACTTTGCTTACTTATGTGCACTTGTTAGAGCCGATCTCTCGGACAGCTGTGTGTTTTCTATGGTCACGAATTTCATGTTTTCATAAACTCTCATTTATATGCAGCATTACATTTACCT